TTTACAAAAAATAAATGCAAACACAAAACCAAACCAAACCAAAAAAAGCCCTATTCCATAGAGGTGCTCTCCAGAGGCAGAGGCAGGTGGATCTCTGTGAGGTCAAGACCAGCCTGGTCTACACAGGACAGCCAGGGATACACAGAAAGAGCCTATCTCAAAAAAAAAAAAAAAAGAAGAAGAAGAAGAAGAAGAGGAGGAGGAGGAGGAGGAGGAGGAGGAGGAGGAAGGAAAGAGTGAGGGAGGGAAGAAGAGAGGGAGAGGGGAAGGAGGAAGAAAGGAAGGAAGGAAGGATGGATGAATAAGGAAGCCAGCTATTTAGGAAGCAGGAAAGTACTGAGGGTGAATGGCTGCAGTTGAGGCAGTGGCCAGGTGTCTTACTGGTCTTTCTGAAGCCACTCTAGTTGTTCAAGCTGTTTGTGGTGCTATTTGATTTAAGGGATGTTAATTTTATTTCTCAATTACCTTGTTTCCTTTCTTTTCAGCCCCCAAATCCACTACTTGATCTACTATTCCGTAGTTTACTTATTTTGTTTTAGTCAATAGTCCAGTTTTCAGTATATTCCTTGGCTGCATCAGGGTGGCAAACTTCTTAAAGGCAAGAATCTAAGGGCAGTGTAGTACAGTGGAAAGAACAGTAACCAGAAGGCACAGTTCTGCCATAAAAGCCTCATGTGACTTCCATTACTTTACTTCTTTGGACTCTTTCTTGCTTAAATGTAGAAGTGAGCCAGGTTGGGGTTGGAAAGATGGCTCAGCAGTTTTACTGCTCTTTCAGAGGACCCTAATTCAGTTCCCATGCTCCATATCTGGGAGTTTACAACTGACTACCTCTGACTCCAGGTCCAAGGGATTTCATGCCCTCTGTTGGCCTCTACTGGCACTGTGATCATGTGTACAAACCCACCACAGACACATAATTAAAAACAAAATCCCTGTCCCCCCTTTTGGATTAATTTATGTGTATGAGTGTTTTGCCTGCCATAGATGGAGGTTTCTGTCCCGCCAGATCCTTCCACCCTTCAGCCCCAAATAAGCACACAGAGACATACTAAGATATTAATTATTAAACTGTTAACTGATGACTTAGGCTTCTTATTGGATTAAAGGCATGGGCCACCACCGACCGGCTAGCTCTTCTGTTAATCTATATATTGCCATGAGGCTTTGGCTTGCCCATAATCCAGCATGTTATTCCTTCGGCATCCTGGCATCTCCTCGAGGTCTCTCTCTCTCTGGCACCTGCCCCCTTCCTCCTGGTCTGGTAGCCCTACCTATTGATTCCTATCTGGCTACTGGCCAATCAGTGTCTTATTCATCAACAAATAAGAGAAACATACATACAGAAGGACATCCCGCATCAGCCTGCATGCATGCATGTGAACCAGGAGGTCAGAAAAGGGTGTCAGATCCCCTGGAACTAGATAGCTGTGAGCCACTATGTAGGTGCTGTGGATGGAACCCTGTTCCTCTGCAAGAACAGCAAGTGCTTTAAACCAATGAGCTATCTCTCTAGCCGGGTGTCAGACCTCTTATCTTGATGATATCAGTTTTAATATTTTAGCTGCTTAGATAAGCAAGGAATAGTTAAGGTAAGTATTTAATTTACTCCTAAGCATTCTCGAAGACTAGGCAATTCTGATTGTTAAGGTCTATCAGGGTAAATCTTACTTCTCCCTCAGAAGTTAATCCATTTAAAAATCATAGCTTTGCCACTTTATTAATCTTTTATGCATGGTATTTACCTTTGCCTTTTTTTTTTATTCACTAAAACATGGCTACTGTGATGGCTATTCTTTGTTGTCAACTTGACTACATCTGGAATTAACTAAAACCCATGTGGCTGGGTATACCCATTAAGGAATCATTTTTTTCCATAACTAAATTGTTCAAAGTGGGAAGATTACTTTTAATATGGATCATTTGAGGTGGGAAGATCCACCTTTAATGTGGATCTTTTGAGGTGAGTAGATCCATCTTTAATCTGGGCCACACTGCTGGCAGCCTGCATGAAGGACATGGAAGAAGGAAACTTCTTCTCTTTGCCTTGTTTGCTCTTTCTGGCAAGTCTATTCCTTTACTGGCATAGAGCCTACTTCCTCAGAATTCCAGTGTGTACTGATGATCAGCTGAGACACCCAGTCTCATGGACTAAACAACTATTGGATTCTTGGACCTTTTGTTGGAAGACAGCCATTCTTGGATTAGTTGGACCACAGCCTATAAGCCACTCTAATAAA